GCAGGGAGTTAAATGGAAGCAGGATAAGTAAGACTCCATTCCAGGGACTCCAATAGGGTTGAGGTATTCCAAGCAGGTGCATAATCCACTGTGCCACAATGCCCCGCTGTTCTGTCTCTCCTCCTCTCTGTAAATGTCTGACTTTGCAATAAAAATAAATCCTTTAAAAAAATTTGAAAGATAATAATCTTTTTAACGATATTATTATTATTGGAAAGGCAGATTACAGAGAGAAGGAGAGACAGAGAGAAACAGCTTCCATCCTCTGGTTCACTCCTCAAGTGGCTACAATAGCCAGAATTGAACTGATCCAAAGCCAAGAGCCAGAAGCTTCTTCCTGGTCTCTTGTGTGGGTTCAGAGGCCCAAGGCTTTGGCCCATCCTCGATTGCCTTTCCAGGCCACAAGTTGAGAGCTTGAAGGGAAGTGGAGCAGCTGGGACCCAAACTGCCACCCATATGGGATCCCAGCGCATGCAAGGTACAAGGATTTAGCCCCTGAGCATGCTGGGCCTGCTGTTCCGCTTCTGATCCAGCTCTCTTCTAACGTGCCTGGGAAAGCAGCAGAAGATGGTCCAAGTACCAGGGCCCTTGCGCCCATGAGGGAGACCTGGATGGAATTCCTGGCTCCTGGCTTTGACCTGGGCTACCCCAGCCATTTGGGGAGTAGACCAGAGTATGGAAGATTATCTGTGTGTGTGTCTCTGAACCACAGGTTGGAAAATCCCTAACTCCCTCTACCTCTATCTCTTTTTCTAACTCTGCCTTCCTAATAAATATGTACAAAAATATCTGTGGTCCAAAGGCACTCTTGACTCCTCCCAGAGACACCTCAGCAGAGGGTATGCCACCCTCTCTCCTTCCTCTGCAAAATGGGCAGGGTGGGTGTGCCTTAACATCGCTATGGAAACACAGGACTGTCCCAAGAACTGGCTTCCTAACCCAGGTCTTGGTAATGGAGGAATTGGGTTTACTTTCCATTGTGAAAAATATTTCAAATATAGACAACTAAGAGAAGAATGCAACCACCCCCTCACCACCTGGGTTTAATGATGGTTAACATTTTACCCTGCTTGTTTCCATCTGTTTGCTATAAATTCTTCAGTATCTTAACTCATCAGGATTTTTTAAATATAACCATGCAGACACTCATTAAATTAACGATAATTCAGGGTTGTCATTCTTGGCATAGCAAGTGAAGCCACCGCCTGCAGTGCTGCCATCCCATATGGGCATTGCTTGTTGTCTGAGCTGAACCAGCTCCCTGCTTATGGCCTGACACAAACTGTGAAAGATGACCCAAGTGCTTGGACCCCTGCATGCACGTGGGAGACCTGGAAGCAGTTTCTACCTCCTGGCTTTGTCCTGACCGAGCTCTAGTTATCACAACCATCTGGGGACTGAATCAGCTGGTGGAAAATCTGTAACTCTGACTTTCGAATAAATATATAAATGTATAAATTGGAAAGAAAGGAAAGAAGAAGGAAAAAGACACTTTCACAGTGGGCATTTGACCTAGCAGTTAAGGTGCCCATGACCCCTGAGCTGGCATGGTGGCATATAAGATAACCCTCTGCTTGCAACATTGGCATCCCATATGGGCACCAGTGCAAGTTCTGCCTGCACCACTTCCCTTCTAGCTCCCTGTGTATGGCCTGGGAATGCAGTAGAGGACGGCCCAAGTTCTTGGGACCTTGCATCTATGTAGGAGACCTGGAAGAACCACTTGGCTCTTTTCTTTGGATCAGCTCAGCTCTGGAAGGTGAGGGTCGGCGCCATGGGGACCCACACCAAGCTCCTTAAACAAGGCACATGCTAACCGCACAAGCCACCTGACAGAAAGTTCATCTAAGTGCATCTACTGCTCAGCCAGTAAGGGTCCAGTTCAGTCTGTCACTTGTATCAGCCTTGCAAGCCCAGCCATTCCAGCTCTCTCTGGTGGGTGCTACAGCATAGCCCTGCCAGCCTGTCCCATTCCTGCTCTCATGCAAACTGGTGGGTATGATAGCCTAGCCCAGTATAGCCTGCACCTCTTTCTGCTTCCTGTGTGTGCCAGTGTGCTACAGTTTGGCCTGACCCTACTCGGTCTACCCCCTTGAGCCAATCCACACACCTGCCAACACACGGAGCAGCCTGGCCCGACCTGGACCACACTCAGCCCTAACTCTCATGCTTACCAGGCGAGCTACAGCCCAGTAGGAGAGTTCCCGAAGTTCCCCTCCTAGACCCACTTCCAGACCCAGATCTCATATGTGCCTGCAGGTGCTAGGCCCCTACCTGGCATAGTTCCCCCACTGCCCCTCCCATTCACCCCATCTTGGCCTTTGTGTGTGCTGGTGGATGTTGTGGCCTGGCCTACCCCACACCCAATTCTTGGGTACCTCTGCAGGTGTTGCAGCCTGGACCAGCCTGGCATGCTCCCAACCCCGGTTCCCATGAGTGTCAGTGAGTTCCATAGTCATACCTAGCTCAGCCTTTCACCACCTCTAGTTCCTGAGCAAACCAGCAGGTGCTGCAGTCCCACAGGAACGAGCCCACAAATCCCCCCACAGGACCTGCCCCCGACCCAGTTCTTTCGTATTCCAGTTAGTGGCCCACCCCTGCTCTGACACTGGGGGTATAGTGGCCTAGCCCTGCCAGGCAGGCCACCAGCCCTATCTTCTGTGTGCACTAGTGGATGGCAGTCAATGCCAGCTAGCTCCACTCAGGTCTCCCACGTGGGCAGGTGCACTGATCTGATGCAGGAAGGCCCTCTGGTTTCCCTCCTCCAACTGTCCCGGTCTCACACCCTCATCTACTTGCAGGTGCTGTAGCCTGGTCAGTTGAAATCCCCCAGAAGTCAGTCCTCACCTGTAAGGTACTCCCTCAGTGATCCCCACTTCCACACGGCCCCACAGCCCCTGTCCGGGGCAATCCATAGCACCCACATCTGTGAATGTGTGCAGGTCTCCAGGTCTGGTCTTCCAGCAGGGTGGTATGCCAGCCTGAGGCCCTGCCTGTGTGCCCAGGGCCCTCATGTACCTCCCAAATCAATAAATCTTTAAGCAGTTTTTTTTTTTTTAGACTGTTGACTTGAAACCATTACTGGTTGTAAGTTAACCCTCAGTTTATTTCTTTTTTAAGATTTATTTATTTTTATTGGAAAGGTAGATTAAAAGAGAGAAGGAGAGACAAGAAAAACAGATCTTCTACCTGTTGGTTCACTCCCCAAATGGCCACAATGGCCAAAGCTGAGCCAATCTGAAGTCAGGAGCCAGGAACTTCTTCCAGGACTCCCATGCGGGTGCAGGGTCCCAAGAACTTGGAGCATACTCCTCTATTTTCCTAGGCTACAAACAGGGAGCTGGATGGGAAGTGGAGCCGCCAGGATATGAACTGGCACCTATATGAGATCCCAGCACATGCAAGGCAAGGATTTAGCCACTGAGCCATCGTGCCAGACCCAACCCTCAGTATAAAATAATTTAGGGGTCACTGTGGTGGCACAGCAGTCTGATCCTCTACCTGTGATGCCAGCATCCTGTATGAGTGCTGGTTCTAGTCATGGCTGCTTCACTTTCAATCCAGCTCCCTGCTGGTGGTCTGTGAGAGCAGCAGAAGGGTGGCCCGGGGCCTTGGGACCCCGCACCTCGTGAGAGATCCAGCCCCTGATTTCAAACCAGCCCAGCACTAATCATTGCAGCTATTTGGCAAGTGAACCAGTGGATGGAAGATTCTTCGTCAGCTCTTCTCTTTGTAACTGCCTTTCAAATAAATATAAACAAACCTTTTAAAAATAATGAAAAAAAAATATATATATATGAAAATATATAGGACCTGGCCTCCCAGGAGTTGGGCTAACTTGTAGGAGTCCTGGTGGCCTGATTCCCTGCCAACCCTCTGCTGAAGCTGGCTATGACTGAGATCCAGACCCCAAAAGTCAGAGCTGCGCAAGACAGAACCACAGCGCTGTGTGCCTGCGTGCCTGCTCTTTGTCCTTCTCTCCTGCTTAGACCCAGGACTAATATTTACCTTGTACATGGCAAACAGGAAGCAGGGCAGGGAGAGGAGCTAGGCCTGGCCCCGCAGCCTCAGGCAGAACGATAGAGGGGCCTGCGAGCAGACCCCCCACCCTAGTGCTGAGGGGAGGGAGACTCCCAAAGGCCCAGAGGGGCCCTGATGCTTCAGGCAATCAGTTCCCATGAACACCACCGCCCCAGGGTGCAGCTGAGGCCAGGCCCCACAGTGGCTGACCCCACCCCCTAAAGGTCGTGGTGGCACAGGCACCCAGCTGCTTCACCCACAGAGACACACAGACAGTGACCCGCTAGTGACACACTGCTCACCCCCTCCTAAGGCACATGGAGGCGAAAGCTACCACCCCAGTGTACTGGGGTTGAAACGCTCCATGGTCCCCAGCTCTGCCATGTCTCAATAAAGAGACAAGGGGGTTGGCGCCATGGCTCAATAAGTTAATCCACTACTTACAAGTGCCAAAATCCCATATGGGCGCCAATTTGAGTCCTGGCTGTTTCACTTTCCTTCCAGCAGCCTGTTCTGGGCCTGGGAAAATAATAGAGGATGGCCCAAATCTTTGGGAACTTGTGTCCGCATGGGGGACCCGGAAGAGTCTCCTGTCTCCTGGTTTGTTTCATCTTCGCTCAGGTGTTGCGGATACTTGGGGAGTGAATCGGCGGATGGCAGATCTTCTCCCTGTTTCTCCGTCTCTCTGTAATTCTACCTTTCCAATAAAGATAAATAAATCTTTAAAAAGAGAGAGAGAATGATGAGGTTGTGGCAGGGACAGTGACCTTTATGTGGTGACTTCCGCCCAGGCCCAGCCAGCCAGACATCTACCCCTGGTCCTGGATAGTGGGGGCGGCCACCAGGGCTGGCCCTCCAATTGTCCCTATGGCTGGCCCTGACCTGCCAACCTCTCCCCCCGTCCGCTGATTTCTTCATGTTGGTTCAACATTAACCCAGAGGGGTCAGGACGGTCACTCAGTCCCAGGAGCGGCCCTGCGATGCAGCACGTCCGAGGCCTGCGGCTAGCTGGCTGCCTGGCCCTGGTTGCCCTGGCCAGCCTCGTGTGCAGCCAGCATGGTGGGTAAAGGGTCGGATTAGGGCAGGAGGCAGGGGGCTCGGGCATGGGCTAAACAGGGTTGCTACCCTTCCCAAGTGGCAAGAGGGGAGAGCAAGGGGTCACTGCCGGGTATTTACATGGCCTGAGACCGAAGCTAAAGCTAAGGCCGGGCCAGACCCGTCCTGACCGGCTGAGCTGAGGTCAAGGGCCCCCCGCACACACTCCTGCAGTGTTCCTGGCCCCAGAGCGGGCACTGTCGCTGCTGCAGCGCAACCGCCGTGCCAACAGTGGCTTGCTGGAGGAGATACGCAAGGGCAACCTGGAGCGGGAGTGCATTGAGGAGACGTGCAGTTATGAGGAGGCCTTCGAGGCCCTGGAGTCATCCAGCAGCACGGTGAGTGGGCTGGCACTGAGCAGCGGGAGGGGGCAGCAGTGGCCTGCTGGGCCCTGGCCTGGGGCTGTGCCTGGATCCCTGCAGCTGCCAAACACTGCCCCCATCCCCAACACACACCCGCCCCCTGCTGCCCAGACAACCGGCCCCACCTCACCCCATGCCCTTGTTTGTTTTTTTTCAGGATGCATTCTGGGCCAACTACACAGGTAAACCAGGGAAGGGAGGCCCAGGCCCCCCTTGGGGTGGGGAGGCTGCTGTACCCAGAGAACTTTCTAGTGCATCCGCCTGGTCCAGCCTCCCAGTATTCCGCCATCTGCCTGTCTGTCCACCTGAGCATGTCTGAACGTCCCCAGCTCGTCCCTGATCCCATGCAGGTCCCACAAACCTGTGTCTGGGTCTTTTCCAGTGTGTGAGCCAGTGAGGAAGCCTCGAGAAAATCTCATGGACTGTCTGGAAGGTGAAGGACGGGGCCTTAGGGTCATGGGGTCGGGGCATGGGGACCGGGAGACACGGGGAGCTGGGAGGAAAGTGGTGGTCTCCAGCCTGTGCTGTGGCTCCTGAGGCAGAGCAGGTGCGTCTGCTGGGATGTGTGCCCGGTGGCCAGTAAGAGTGAGGGAACGAGGGAGCAAGTAGGTGATAGGTGAATGTTTTTAAGGCCTCTTTCTCCTGGCCCCCAAGCCGAGCCTCCACCCATGCTGTCAGCACTCGGACAGGGTCACATTTACGCGCCAGCACCGTTAGCTGCTCCCTGTCACCAGAGAATAATCAGGCCGTGTAGTCACGTGTGCCTAGCTCCTTCTATCCCTAACTTCTTCTTTCTAGCCTTACCTTCTACGACACCAAACACAAGCCCCTACCTGCTCGGACAGTATGTAAGCCAAGAGGTTTCCGCTTTTGGCCCCTGCTGGCATCCTCAACCTCCCCCTAGAGCAGCGGCTGCCTGCTGAACACGTCCCCATCTTCAAGGCCTCGTTCAAATACCTGCACTGTCCACCCTATACTAGGGTGACAGTAGGGTCACTACCTGGAATTCTTTTTATTATTATTATTATTATTATTTTAAGATGTATTTGTTTTTATTCAAAAGACAGATTTACAGGGAGAAGGAGAGACAGAGAGAAAGATCTTTGATCCACTGCTTTACTCCCCAAGTGACTGCAACAGCCAGAGCTGAGCCAATACAAGGCCAGGAGCTCCTTCCGGATCTCCCACGTGGGTGTAGGGTCCAAAGACTTTGAGACGTCCTTGACTGCTTTTCCAGTCCACAATCAGGGATGAGAAGTGGAGCAGCTGGGACATGAACACATATGCATATGGGATGCTGGCATTTGAAGGTGTCAGGTGCTGGGCATTGGAAGTAACTCAGGGTCCCTCATTGGAGGCAAAGAAAGCATTCAGGTGATTCCTAGAAAGGGTCTAGACAAGGCATTCAGAGGACACAGGAGGAGGAGCAGCTGGCAGGCGGGTAGGAGCAGGGACAGCTTGTAGATGTTTCTTTGGTCTCATGGGCTGTCCTGGTGGATAAATCCCAAACTGAGCATGCGCCAAGGCCTCGTGGCAGGAAGTGCTAAGCTACCAGGGCCAGGCTGAGCGGCACCAGGTGGTGAGGCTTGTGCTCACTCGAAGGAGGCTCTGTGAGGACTACGCTATGTCCCCTACATCCGGCACAGCGATGGCCACGTGGTGACATTCAGTGACTACTGGGAGACCACTGCCGAGTGTCCCCTGCAGAATTGCTGGAACAAATGCAGGAGGTGCATTGGCTGGGGGCAGTGCGGTTTGGGGACAGGGAACCTGAGTTTGGACGCGCACGCGGGCTGGGATTCCCACAGGTCGCTGCTCCCAGGGCCTGGGACTAAACTACCGGGGAAAAGTGAACGTCACCCAGTCAGGCATCGAGTGCCAGCTGTGGAGGAGTCGCTACCCACACAACCCTGAGTGAGTACACAGTGGGGCTCGGGCCAAGGGTGGGAGCCAGGCCACGGTGGGGTGGGGGCACGTTCAGCCTTCCACTGAGCCAGCGCCTCTTTCAGAATCAACTCCACCACCCACCCTGAGGCCGACTTGCAGGAGAACTTCTGCCGCAACCCCGACGGCAGTGGCACGGGCCCCTGGTGCTACACCACAGACCCCACTTTGCGAAGGGAGACGTGCAATGTCCCTATCTGTGGTGAGTGTGTGTGGGCGGGGTAGACCATGGCCAAGACCACCCCTGCTGTGCCTGGAGCCCTGGGTCTAGATGCAGGGACATGGAATATGTGCGTTGGAGTGTGGCCCCCAGCCGCCTCCTGCAGCCAGACCTGGGGAGCTGCCCCCCAGAGTTCAGCCACTCACTCTGCCCTGTGCAGTCTCGGACACTTCCTGATTTTTATGAGGTCTTCTGTGTTCCTGCTCGACTGGAGAGTGAAAGTGCAGCGCTTTCAGAAATACATGATTTGCATTTTAATAAAAGGCTTATTTATTTGAAAGGGTTCCAGAGAGAGTATCTTCCATCTGCTAGTTCACTTCCCATATCTCCACCATGGCTGGAGCTGGGTCAGGCCACAGCCAGGAGCCTACAACTCTATCTGGGTTTCCTTCATGGGTAGCAGGGCCAACTACTTGGGCCATCCTCTGCTGCTTTCCCAGGGATATTAGCAGGGAGCTGGATTGCAAGTGGAGCAGCCAGGACTCAAACCAGCACAGACGTGGGATGTTGGAATTGCAGGAGGCTTACCCCCTGCTGTAATTAGGTTTAGAACTGGGCGGGGCAGTCCTTCCCAGAACCAGAGACACGTGGTTAAGGCCAAGGTGAAGGGCATTCTGTAAGGCAAAGGATGCAGGTGTAGGTAGGGAAGAGTGTTGCAGTGACTCCACCCATTGGGCCCAGCTGCACCTGCCCCTAAGCGCAGCTGAAGTCGGTTCCTTGCCTGCACCTAGGAAAGTAGGGTCTTTCTAGGACCCCCGGCAGTCCCTGACTTGGTGTGGACCCGCGTGCTTCCTCCCAACGCAGGCAAGGGGCAAGTCCCCACGCAGCTGACCCCACGAGCTGGAGAGCCCAAGTCTTCTCCGAAAGACTGTGTCCCTGAGCGCGGCAAGCTGTACGAGGGGCACCTGGCTGTCACCAAACAAGGGTCGCCTTGCTTGGCCTGGAGCAGCCCACAGGCCCAGGCCCTGAGCAAACACAAGGCCTTCAGCCCGCAAGTGCTGCTGCTGGAGAACTACTGCCGGAACCCGGACGGCGACGAGGAGGGCGCCTGGTGCTACGTGGCTGGGAGGCCCGACGACTTCGAGTACTGCGGCCTCCACTACTGCGGTGAGAAGGGTCGGCCGGCAGAGGGCGCCCTGTTTCCGGATGAGTAAATTGAGCCCCTCCTCCAAACTCCTGGGTTTGGGGGGAGCCCTTGCTACTATAAACTCGACTTGGGGCACCTCCTTGACCCAGAGTGGGGAACGGGGGCAGCCTGGGGGTGGTAGACCAGCTGCGGGGTCGTTCCTGGGTCTCCACAGAGGAGAACGTGGAAGAAGAGGAGATTGGGCCAGAGGGAGGCCCAGAGGAGGTCATTGCGGGGCGCACCACCGAACAGGAGTTCCAGACCTTTTTCGACCAGAAGACTTTTGGCCAGGGGGAGGCAGGTGAGGCGTGGGCATGCCTGGGGTGCAAGGTGGGGTTGGTGGGCAGGGGACTGGTGGCCAGGACTGGCCCCTTACAGCCCGCCTTGCTCCGCAGACTGTGGGCTGCGGCCGCTGTTTGAGAGGAAGTCAGTGAAAGACGCAACGGAGGATGAACTCTTCGAGTCCTACATCGATGGGCGCATTGTCAAGGGTCAGGACGCAGAGAAAGGCAGCGCGCCCTGGTGAGTCCTATTCTCTTCCGCTTGGCTGGGCCCACGCAGAGCCCTTGGAAGCCGCTCACGTCCCCAGAGGCGCAGGCCTTCCTTCCCGGATCAATGACTGAGCTCCATTAGCATTAGCAACCTCCGGAACCCTGGTCAAGAGGCCCAGTGCTTCTGCTGAGCTGACAGCACCCACCCCGGGCCATGCTGCTTCAAGTGGCTGCAGTCTCGTTCAGGAGTCACAATTAAGCCCTGTGGATCCCAGCCTGGATGAGGGAAGAGGGTGTGGCCTGGCACCATGTGGGGGCATCAGATCCCACGGGGAGCTTGGGCAAGCAGGGAGCTGGGCCCAGGAGGCAGCTCTGTCCAGATTTGTGTATTCATGTGCCTGCCTGACAAGAGGGTTGTCAATAGGTGAGCCCCATGTGGGCGCCAGGGCACCCCTGCTCTCTCCCCTCCTCCCTTCCCCATCTGACTCAATCTTCAAATGGCCACCAGGCTGGGCTGGAGCCTGGAGCTGCACATGCAGGCCTCCTAGGCGGGCGTCCTGGGGCAGCCCTCCGCTGCTGCCCTCCCAGGCACGTTGGCAAGGAGCTGGGTCAGAAATGGAGCAGCTAGGATTTGAACTGGCACCCATATGGGCTACCTGCATCTGGTGTTGTAAATGATAACCCATTGTGGCTAGTTCTTTCTTTCTTTTTGAAGATTTATTTATTTTTATTGGAAAGGCAGATTTTACAGAGGAGAGAGAGAGAGAGAGAGAGAGAGAGAGAGAGATCTTCCATCTTTTGGTTTACTCCTCAAATGGCTGCATCTGCAGCCAGGAGCCAGGAACTTCTTCCAGGTCTCCCACATGGGTACAGGATTCCAAGGCTTTGGGCCATCCACCACTGCTTTCCCAGGCCACAAGCAGGGAGCTTGAAGGGAAGTGGGGCAGCTGGGACACAAACCAGTGCCCTTATGGGATCCCGGCACTTGGAGGGAGAGGATTAGTCAATTGAGCCATTGCACCAGCTGCTCCAGCTTCACTTTCAGGGTTGATAGGACACGAGACCCCAAACCCTCGAGCCTTCTGTCCCCTTCCCAGGCAGGTGATGATTTTCCGGAAGAGCCCCCAGGAGCTGCTGTGTGGGGCCAGCCTCATCAGTGACCGCTGGGTCCTCACCGCTGCGCACTGCCTCCTGTACCCGCCCTGGGACAAGAACTTCACCATCAATGACATCCTGGTGCGCATTGGCAAGCACAACCGCAACAGGTACAGCGGGTTTGGAGCCCGCCGGGCATGGGCGCTGGGGACAGGACCTTGTGTTATGTGGCATGGCATCCCAGGGGTCTCTGCTGGGAAGGCCTCTGTCCATGTCCTGACCGAGGCTTGGAGCCAGGGGCCAGAGAAGGAAACCCTAGTCAGCCTGCACCTGCGCTCCTGACACCAGGGCAGGACCAGGGTGGGGCGGGGTGAGGTGAGAGACAAGGAGGGGGTCTCTGAGACCGGATGCTGCATGGCTTCAGCCTGGGAGGAAACCGCAGGGGCTGCCAAGGCGAGAAAACAGACCCAGATCCTGCCCCTAGACCCTTCCTCGGGGAGTTGCTGGGCTCACCGCCTCCTGCCCCCATCTCCTGCTCTGCCCAGCTATGAGCGCAGCGTGGAGAAGATCTCCACGCTGGAGAGGATCGTCATCCACCCCGGCTACAACTGGCGGGTGAACCTGGACCGCGACATCGCCCTGCTGAAGCTCAAGAAGCCGGTGGCCTTCAGCAACTACATCCACCCCGTGTGCCTGCCTGACAAGAGGGTTGTCAACAGGTGAGCCCCATGTGGGCGCCAGGGCACCCCTACTCTCTCCCGTCCTCCCTCCCTTCCTCTTCAATTTCCCTTCCTCCCCTCCTCTTCCCTCCTCTTTTCTTTCCGCACCTCTTCCTGTATCCTTTCCTTTTCCCTCCTCACCCCTCCTTGCCTCTTCCCTTCCCTCTCCTCACCTCTTACCCTCCCCTTCCCACTCCGCTCTCCCACTTCTCTCTCGCCTCCATTTCTTGGGAGTCTACTCCTGTGGTTCTTTTGGATGTGGGTCCCCTCGGCAGTGGCCTCGGCCTGGGAGGCCCCTGAAGGGGCTTGGTCTGAGAGGGTCCTTCTCCTGGTTTCCTTCCCCATAGATTGTTCCAAGCTGGATACAAAGGGCGGGTGACCGGCTGGGGCAACCTGAAGGAGACGTGGACGGTGACCATGAACGAGGTGCAGCCCAACGTCCTGCAGATGGTGAACCTGCCCTTGGTAGAAGTTCCCGTGTGCAAGGCATCCACCCGGATCCGCATCACCGACAACATGTTCTGTGCTGGCAAGTGTGCAGTGGGGGCAGGGAGGTGGTTGGACATGCTGGGCACAAGCCTGGGTTCAGGTCCTGGTCACTGCTGCCCATGAGCCAGACCCCCTCTAGGAGGGAAGGCGGTAAGCCTAAAATTATGGGAGGCTCAGTTGCAGGCTGGGTTTGCAGCCAGAGGCCGTGGACGTGGATGAGCCGTGCATTCATTCCTTCATTGGGTCATTCAGTGCTATCAGGTGCATCCTGGCAACAGCCATGTGATATTCATTCCTCTGCTTGGCGAGAGGAACTCCTAGCAGACCATGTCCTATGGTCCTATGGTGTCTCCCAGGCACCTCGCTGTACACTTTTCTGCCTTTCTCCTTTGCCATTCACAAGTGGGAAAAGACTTTTTATTTATTGAAAAAGTGGAGAGAGAGAGAGAGACAGAGACATAGCTCTTTCGCGTGCTGATTCACTCACTCCCCAGTGCCCTGTGTTGTGAAGGCTGGGCAGCCTGGAGCTGGGAGGCTAGAACTTCATTCAGGGCTGCCCCAGGGTGGCAGGGCCCCAGCTCCCTGGGCCGTCACCTGCTGCCTCCTGGGGTGCGTACAAGCAGGAAGCTGGCCTTGGGAGTGGAGCCAGGACTTGGAGCACAGGCATTCTGATGTGATGGGGGTTCCAAGCCACTACATAAAATCCCTCTGCCTACATTGGCATTTTATATTCTATTTCTCATCAAATTGTTCTGCCAGCTCTGGTGGCTGCCAAATGGAGATTTTTTTTTTTCAAATTTTGCCATTTTTCTTATGCTTATCAGTATGTATATTGTTAAAGAACTTTCTTGGGTGGACTTCATTCCAAGGGTTACAGTTGTCTGCTGAGGCTCACATTGCCCCAGGCGTGGCCAATAGCGCCCTCAGCAGGCAGGCCTGTGTGACGTTTGCATGAATCTGCTGGTTTTCTTTCTTCGCTTACTGCCATTTCTCTGGGGAATCCTTAGGCACCAAGATCCGGGTACTAGGGGTGCGTATTGTGACCTCAGTGTCAGTGCTCGCAGGCCCCCTCAGTGGACAGAATAGAAACACGGGTGAGGCATGCCCAGACACCTCCTTTTCCCCAGCTCTTGCACTTTCTCATCTTGCTTCCTCCCCATCCGTCCACTCACCCGCCCACGTATCCTGTGTGTCCAGCCTTCATCTACCTGCCACGTCCACCTTTTTATCTATTTACTGTTTGTCTTTTATCCATCCATCACACCAGTCTGGCATATCCACTAATCATATCTATCCATCCATTCACCATCTATTCTGTCAATCACCTATCATCCATCCATCCCTTCTGACCTTTCGTACACACCTATTTACTAATTCTAAAACTAACTCAGATTGAAACTTCTAATGCTAAATCAATACCACAAGGGCACTTTTAACTTCTTCCTTTCATATTTCTGTTACCAGAGAAACGTGATTCCCATTATCTGTTTACTTATTTGATGAATCCTAGGGTAGTTTCAGGATCCCTTATCGATCTCATTGTGACACTGCCAGACCCCTTAGCGTTCAGTGTAATTCCAGTTTCTTTTGTCTTGGCCTGAGGGCATGTATGTGGGCTCATTCCTCATCCCTCCTCTTGTGTTACTCATTTCAAATACCACTGGCCTCATTTGTTTCTAATTGCATTATTTTGTGCATTCCTCTGAAAATATCTGCTCATTTTTGGAGTATATATATAAAAAAAATTAGCCGAGTCCCAAAGGCAGAGCAGCGCCAGGCGCCAGTGAGCGCTCTGGGCAGTCAGCCCCTTCCCGTGCGGTCTCATCCGTGTCTGCCTCGTTCTTCCTGCCTTCTGCAGAGACCAGCACATGGAATTACTTCTTTTCCCTACTTCTCTACCCACAGAGTAGCGTACTACAGAGTAGCATAGATGTTCTTTTGTATCTTGCCATCTTGCTTTTTTACCTACTTTAGCCTAGCCTGGAAATGTACTTCCTCTGGACAGGGCGAGTTTTTCTCATGTCTGCCGTGCCGAGAGCCACACTGCACTTCTCTGACGTGGATGTTACTCAACCACTTTCGCATGTATAGGCATTTAGATTGTTCCCTTTTTTTTTTTTTTTTTTTTTGCAACAACAAACAAGGCTCCCGTGAACAGCCTCCTCATTCTGATGTCTCAGTGCTGTTGAAGGTGTGTCTGTCAGTAGACCCTAGGGATGGTGTCGTCTTGAATGACGTTTGTGCAGGGACAAGCATTTGGTCGGTCACTCAGGTGCTATTTCAGATATTCACAACCTAAGTCCCAGCTTATTTTGGTGCAAACCATTGTTTGCCCACCTCACATATTTTTGAAATCCAAGCATAGTTGTTTTCATGCCTCACATTTTTCTCATACATTAAAAAAAAAAATCTTTATTTGGGAAGCAATGCGTTCAGTGGCTAACAATCAAGGCTGGACGAGACTGAAACCAAAGCCTGGAGTTCTAGCTTGGCCACCCGTGTCAGGGGTGGGGACCTGCGTCCTTGACCAGCACCAGCTGCCGCCCGGGGTGCCCTGGCAGGAGGCTGGATCAGAGGCGGAGGAGCCAGCACTTGAACCTTGTACTCTGCTAGGAGATGTGGGTGTTCCAAGTGGTATAACTGCTGAGCCAAACGCTTGTCCTAAGCTCATCTTTTGTTTTCATTTTCATTTTTCGAGTACCCTAGGGTGTCATTTCATGAGGGATTTCTGGATTTCTTCCTCTAAGAGCTGTATCAATGGCCACTTCCATCTGCAGAGTGTGGCATGCCTGTTCCCCTCTAACCTTACCTGAGAATACTATTTCTTCTTACCATCTTAAGAGACAAGGTATAGCATCTCTGTGTTCCGTATGCTTAAAGATCACTTTACATATATATATTTTTTTCCAGTTTACAAAGCAAGATTTATTTAAGAGAGTGAAAGAGAAGCCTCCTGCCGAGGTGACAGGAGGGGGCTACATATTCTTGTGAAACGTTTTTATGCCCATTTTTGTCTGTTTCCCATCAGTTTTAGGGGTTTCACATTGATTAGGCATTTATTAGTAACATATACTTCTAGTTTGTGTCTTTTTAAAGCTTATGTATGATTTTATTTAATTTTAATTTTTACTAGAGTCGGAGAGGCCCAGAGAAGGGGTAGTGAGAGCCAGAGTGTGTGCCCATCTGCTATGGCCGGGGGGCTAGGTGCCAGAAGCTGAGGTTCCAATACAGGCCTTGCCCACAGATAGCAGGAACTCTGTTAACTCCTTATGCCATCACCACTGCTTCCCCACAGGGGCAGGAGCGGATGGTGTTCTGTTACAGTGGACATCCCATATGGGTGACGGTTCAAGTCTGGGTGCTCCACTTCTGATCCAGTTCCCTGATAAACAGCTGGAAAGGCAACAGAGTGGCCCTAGTGCTGGACCCACTGCCACGCACACAGCAGGCTTAGATGGGTTCCAGGTCTCGGACTGGCTTTGACCTGGTCCAACTCCAGTCATTGTAGATATCTGGGAAGTGAACCAGCAGGTGGAAGACCTTTGTCTCTCCCTCTCACTGTGCCTTTCAAACAAGTATTTTTTAAAATTACAGAGATTTTGGCGTATGTTGAACACCTAGCAGGGTCAATCTTGCAGTTGTATGTGTGTACATTTGCAGTGTTTTCTAGGCAATTTTTATGTTTTACCTTTGCAAACTTTTATATTAATTTGTCTAGATAAAGGCTTTTTGGTATTTGCCACATGTTTAAAAGTATTATTTGAAACAGAGGAGAGGCAGGGAGAGCGAGCTTCCACTCGTTGGTTTACTCCCCACATAGGTGCCGAGCCAGGCTGAAGCCAGGTACTTCATCCGGGTGTCCCGCACGAGTACAGGGGTTCAAGCACTTAGGCCATCTTGTGCTGCTTCTCCCTGGATTGGAAGTAGCCAGGATACAAGCTGGCACTTGTGGGATGCTAGTGTCACAGGAGGTAGTTTAACTTGTGATGGGAGGTGGATTGGAAGTGGAGTAGCAGGGACCTGAACTGGCACCCATATGGGACGCTGGAGCTGCTGGAGCCTCTTCTGCTGCTCCACAGTGCTGGCCCCACTATAAGTCCTATAGTCTATACTCTTTCATCCATGAGCTGTTAGTTTATCTTAAAGACTTCTTTCTTTATTTGAAAGGCAGAGTTATACAGAGGGGGAGAGAGTGATCTTCTAGCTGCTGGTTCACTCCCCAGGCGGCGCAACAGCCAGGGTTGGGCCAGACCTAAGCCAGGGTCCTAAGTGCTTGGGCCATCTTGCAATGCCTTTCCAGGCATATTATCAGGCAGCTGGATTGGGACTGGGGCAACCAGGATTCGAACCTGGTGCTTACATGGGGTGCCAGCATTGCCAGGGGGCCACTTGAATTCCAGGCTTTAAGAATCTTTACAGATTTTGATTTTGCTAATAATTTGAAGTTTTGATTCATTATGACAGCAGCATCATTTCTGTTTCATGGAACCAGTATTTCTTCTGTGCGTGCCGCTTGTTCGGTTCCTCTAAACGTTACACGTGTGTCTGAAAATGCTGTTTTCTATTATCGGTATGTGAGATTTGATTGATAACAATCACCATACCCAAAATTTTTGTTAAAGGTTTTTTTATTTAGTTTTACTGGAAAGTCAGATATACAGAGAGGAGGAAAGACAGAAAGATATTTTGTCCGATGATTTACTCCCCAAGTGACCACAACAGCCAGAGCTGAGCTGATCCAAAGCCAGGATCCAGGAACTTCCTCCAGGTCTCCCACGCAGGTGCAGGGTCCCAAGGCTTTGGGCTGTCCTTGACTGCTTTCCCAGGCCACAGGCAGGGAGCTGGATGGGAAGTGGGGCTGCTGGGATCTGGCATAAAATGGGATACTGGGTCACGGCGCGGGGTCCCTAAAGGTTTATTATTAATTGGAAAGGCAGATTTACAGAGAAGGAGAGATAGAAAGAGCTTCCATCCACTGGGTCACTCTTCAAGTGGCCACAATGGCCAGAGCTGAGCTAATCTGAAGCCAGGAGTCAGGAGCTGCTTCTGGGTCTCCTGTGCAGTGCAGGATTCCAAGGCTTTGGGCCATCTACCACTGCTTTCTCAAGCCACAAGTAGGGAGCTAGATGGGAAGTGGAGCAACCAGGACATGAATTGGTGCTCGTATGGGTTCCCAGCCTGTTCAAGGGAAGGACTTTAGCTGTTAGGCTATTTTTTTTTCCCACACACTTATGTTTGCTTGAGTTTTTTTGTGGTTGAGTATCAGGACATTTTGTTAGCTTTGAGGAGTCATTCCACCTGCTGAGTGGAGACTGGGTTGTAGGCTGGCTGCAGGGGTACTAGGGGTCTTGTGGTTCAGGAAGCTCGTAGGGGCAGCAGCCAGCAGCAGAAGTGGGAACAGCTGAAGGACTGGATGTGAGGCAAGAGTTAAGGGTGTAAGGGTGACTAGAAAAAACCAATTAGATATTCACCTCCTGTTTCTTAAACAGAAAAACTCAGTTATTTTGAAAGACAGACAAATAGGTCTCCCATGTACTAGCTTCCTCCTCAGATGCCTCATGACAAGGTCAGGCCGAAGCCTGGAAGCCGAAACTCAACCTGGGTCTCTCAGGTGACCAGGCAGTGAGCCGGCTGCTGCTTGGGCCAGACACCTCCTCGTGGGGCACGGGTCGGCAGGAAGGGCTGCAGCAGGTCCCCGAGGCGGGGCATCGGCTGCTGCCTGGCTGCTGCAGTAGGAGCATGTTCTCTCTCAAGGTTACAAGCCTGAGGAGGAGACCCGAGGGGACGCCTGTGAAGGTGACAGCGGGGGACCCTTTGTCATGAAGGTAAAGTTGCCTCAAGAACCTCGGTAGTGCTGTGGATGGAGAGGGAAGTTGCCTGGTAACTTTCGAACTTGCCCCTGTTGGGACCCTTCTCTTTCCTCTTCAGAGCCCCTATAACAACCGCTGGTATCAAATGGGCATCGTCTCCTGGGGGGAAGGGTGTGACCGGGATGGCAAATATGGCTTCTACACTCACGTCTTCCGCCTGAAGAAGTGGATTCGCAAGGTGGTGGATCGCTATGGCTAGGGGCCATGCCAGCCCCTCACTGCTGAAACTAGTCTGGTCAAAGAACTGCTATTGTGGCTGATGTCTAAAGTTATGGTTCCCAATAAAAGTGACTGTCAACAAGCCCCTGTGCTGCTGGTGCTGTCCTAGGCCACTGGACAGGAGGAACACCACTTGCTGGGCACCCCCGCGTCCAGGACAGAGCCCGGGGAGTGGCAGATGGAGCTGCAGAAATGTCTTCAGGTCGGCTTTGGATGTGTCCTCTCACTTAATTCTCACCGAGGCCTGCTTCTGGCCTCAAGAGGTCCTGGAGTCACCTGAGGCCTGCAGTTGTACGGATGGCTTTGGGAAACAGGTCTGGAGCTCCTGAGGCTGCAAAGGGCTTGTCACCCAGGGCACTCTCGGGGTGGGTCTCTGTGGTCTTCTCACCATGCTGGCACATTGATGGGCAATGGGCTCACAGTACTGACGTTTAGCAGTGGTCTGGGGCTCTACAACCCACTGCCTGGGCCTGTCTGTCCTGGCTGGTGTGAGCAGAGTCTCCTCGTGTCCTTGGCCTTCTGGGCACCCTGTGGATCGCCTCAGGGTGGCCACTCCCCCTCTCATTCGGCAGCAACTTGATTTTCCGAGGCCTGGGACCTGGAGGGTGACGGGAGTCAGAATGAAAGTTGGCCTCCAGGAGCCTGCTCTCTCAGGCTGCAGGGGGCAGAGGCCACGGGCGTGGGCATGGGAGCCCAGCTCTGACCAGCTGCTGTCCTGTTCTGGGCCCCTCCTCCTCAGACTCCATCCCAGTGAGCTGCCTTTAGGCTGCGGGGAGAAGTGGTACCACAGTCCAGGGCAGATACAGCCCTGAGTTCTGGCTGCTGAGAGATGCTAATGAATTGAGGCCTGCTGCTGTGGTATTCTCCCAGGGTGGAGGTGAAGGCTGCCTGCCTCAGCTTGGAGGGCGGAACACGGCTGCCACGTAGTTACCCTTCTTGGCCTGGAATCTTCGACCCAGAGCAGCTTCAAGCAAACGGACCTGAAGAAGGAATCCTCACCCACGTGCCCTCATGCTATTTCTTAGTTTTCAACACATCAGGACAGGGAGGACAGAATTCCTTACCTTCGTCCTTTGGGGTTTACACAGGAACTGCATGGGCCTGCAGGGTCTTCATAGGCCAGAGTCTAAATCAGGGCCCAGGAAAGGTATTAAGATTGCTTGGACCAGCTGCAGCCTGCTTTCAAAAAGGGGGCATGTTTTCTACCTCAAACAGTGCCAGACCCACGCACAGCCATTCTTTCTAAAACCGCCTTTTACTGTAGCAATGGAAACTCCGGCATCCCATTACAGGAGAGGCAACCTTAACTTCAGATGACATAGGGATGCCTGAAAATGACCACAAACAACAGAAGACTTATTTGATGGAAGATAATCTGTCATTTCTTGAACACCAGTTAAGCAGAAGGTGGGCTAGAAAAGTCCCTCTGAACTTCTAACTGCCTGATTCCCACTCCCTCCCCGTCCCCGGGGAATGCAGAGCCTCTTCATCCTACAGTTTTTCTGACCCCAGAGGCAGATCCTCCAGAATTTAGGCCCCTACAGGCGAATTCTCAGTTCACTTTCTGGTCCTCCCCCATAACCACAGGAGATGACTATAACCTTGCAGCAAGCTGCTGCAGTCCCCGAACTCCACCAGCGGGGTGAGGCCAGATCTAGCTGCACAGTGTGAACTGCCACCACGCAGCCAACCCCTGGCCACATCCACATGTGTACTGGGGCAGCTGAGCGGGGATGACCAGGAGCCCCTTGGCATGAACTACTGCCCTTGCTGGGAAGGAAGTCACAAGGCTGTGAATGCCCTGCTCCCCGGGGAGCTGCATGTGGCACGTGTCAGGGCAGGACTGCGCCTTCTGCACCAGGCCGAGCCCCGGCTGCCCTTCGCTCCGAGACTTGGGGCTTCCTGGGAGACGGGTATAGTTAATGCAAACTTTATTTATAAAAGACTCTTAAATTAGTTGTGTCATGCCATGCTTTCATACAGAATACAGTGACCCCTTGGGACTACGGAGGGGAGAGCTCACAAACTCAAAGGAAAACTAGTAGAGTTTCTAATAAAGCTAGGAAAGGGAAGGACAATTTTACAAATGAGCGATTAGAAATGAAACAAAAGAAAGGCGTCGGCTCTGGACACTAGAGTGGGCTGAGAGGAGAGCAGCTGTTTACAAGTCTGTACACTAACTAACCCCTTGGCGGGCCCCTGGCGAGGCGCTGCTGCCAGGGAGAAGCAGAGTGCGGGCGGAGGCTTGCGCGTGGCCGCCCCAGCTCCTCGGGGTGACACACACACACACACGCACGCGCACACACACACACACACACACACACACACACACACACACACACACACACACACACACACACATGACAGTCTGCACGCGCTGGGCCTGTAGGCCACGTCCAGCTATGAGGACTCCTAGTTTAGTAAACTAAAGCTGCAGGGTGCCAGGGGAGCGGGTGGCTTCATTTGCGACTGCTCTTTATTCTCTCCAGCCTCTTTTTCAAGTCATCAATGTTAGTGGTGGAGGCGGAGGAGGAGGTGAGGCTTCCTGACGAGTGAGTCTGGTTGGAATCGAGCTCCGAGTGCTGGTGCTGCTCCCGTGACTCCCGGAGCTGCGAGAGCTTGCTGTGGAGCATGTCTGTGGAGGAGGCGACGGGAGGGGTTGCTGGCTTGGAGAGCAAGGAGCTCAGCGGAGGCCGCTCGTCTTGCTATTGAGGGAAGAAGGGACACTGTCTGAGAGCAAGTCAAAGGCCAGTGCCGCGGCAACACAGGCAGACTGCCCGCCCTGACGCGCCCAGGAGGAAAAGAGCCATACCTTGGTGTTGTCCAGGCCACAGCGCTGCCGGAGGATTTTGAGCCTTTCCAGGTACACGGAGGGCCCCACCTCCTCTCCGTTTGTGTTTCCTATAGAGGACACTGTGCTTGTCGGGGCGGGCATGCATGTGACTTCCATCTGTGGGGAGATGCCTAGAGAGGAACACACACACAGAACATTCAGAAACACACACATGCCACTTCTTAACTGCCTTGGTTCACCTGCCACTGAAGGAAACGATGAACAGCTTCCTGGGCTTGAATTTGCCAATGAATTTGAAAGCTGAAGCTATAGGAATCCCTTGGTGGTAATCTAGAGAGCTCTGAAAGATACTATAAGCTTCAAGAGATAGTCAAGAATTTGATCAACATTTTCTATCTGCTGGTTTGTTCCTGCCATGGCTGGCCTGGGCCAAGCTGAAGCCAGGAATGTGAAACTCCATCCAAATCCACTATGTAAATGGTAAGGGCCTACGCAGTTCCCCAGGTGCATCAGCAGGGAGCTAGTTTGAAAGTGGAGCAGTTGAACTTGACTGAAACGCTGATACAGAATACTGGCACTGTGTCACAACACTGGCAAGGAACCTCACCTTTCTGGTCTCTGGGGAAGCAAGACCTTCAGGTGACATACTTTACCAGAGCAGGAACTAACCCCTCACCATTACTGAGGTATGCCAGCAGCTGACTGGCCTGAACGAAATACCTCAGGACACGCTCAGCTTGGGAGATTAGGCTTTGAAAAGGGACCACAAAGGGGAAAGTCTGCACTCAAACCCAGAAAAGACACAGGAGGGTAAGGCCCTGGATATCCGCGAGGAGGAGGAGAAGCTGAGGTGTCCAGAAAATATCTAAACAGGGAACAGGGACTGACACCTGTAGCTACTTCACCAAGATGGCTATTCTGGGAGGAAAGATGACTAAAACTTAAGCAAAGTAACAATTTTTTCCCCCTTTTCCTCCAGGTCTGCCATAAAAGTGCAGGGTCCTAAGGCTTTGGGCTGTGCTCAACTGCCTTCCTAGGACAAAAGCAGGGAGCTGGATGGGAAGTGGAGCTGCCAGGACTAGAACCGGTGCCCATATGGGATCCCAGCATGTTTAAGGAGAGAACTTTAGCCACTAGGCCACTGCGTGGGGCCCCAAAGTAACAATTTCTGGAAAGGAACATTGGCAATTGAAATACTTAATTTGTTATCAGTGAAAATGTATTATATAGGCCCACAAGATAAGGTAGGAAAAATTGCCCTGTGGAAAAAGGCAAGTAAAACAAGGAAAAAGGAATTCATTAGAGATGAATCTACCCTGCAGTGGTGAAAAACAAATGAAGACTAAATGCCAACAGGGACAAGGGTGATGACTCAATGGCTAAATCTCTTTGCAAATGCTGGGATCCCATTTGGTTGCCAGTTCCTGTCCCGGCTGCTCCATTTCCCATCTAGCTCCTTGCTTTTAGCCTGGGAAAGCAGTGAAGGATGGCCAAAAGCCTTGGGATCTTGCCCCAACATAGTAGACCCGGAAGAAGCTCTTAGCTCCTGGTTTCAGATTGGCTCAGGTCTGGCAGTTGTGGTCATTTGCGGAGTGAAGCAATGGATAGAAGATCTTCCTTTCGTTCTCTCCAAAATCTGATCTGCCTTTCCAATAAAAAAGTTAGAGATAAACAGAGGAAGATCTGTCCAGGGATTCACTCCCCAAGTGGCCACAATGGCTGGAGCTCAGCTGATTTGAAGCAAGAAGCCTGGAGCCTCTTCCAGGTCTCTCACACAAGTGTGGGGTCCCAAGACTTTGGGTCGTCCTTGACTGCTTTCCCGGGCCACAATCAGTGAGCTGGATGCTTTTGGTGGCAGCTGGAATTAGAACTGACTCCCAATGGGATCCTAGCATGTACAAGGTGAGGACTTTTGCTGCTTGGTTACCACCATGCTGGGCCCAAAAATAAATAAATCTTAAAAAAAAAATTTAAAAAGCCAACAGTCATATGAATAGGATAGATATGATGCCAAGTGAACAATTGGAGGTCACACACTTATAATGCAAATGTGCTATTAATTCCAAAATATCAAAACTCGCCATTACAAGAGAAGACTCCACAAACTTGGAAAGGAGGCTTCTTGCCAGTCATCCTAACCATGGTTTCTGCATCCGTGGATTATTGTTTACATTCAAGGTATTGGTGAGGGCTATTTAAGTCCAGCTGTTGAAGAGAACACAGCTGAACTGAATTTCAGCCTAGCAAGATCCAAACTTGAGAAAACAGGACACAGGCCTGAACAT